TAAGTTTTTATAAATAATTTTTATGACAGAGAAAGAAAAATGGTGAAATATTCTGCCAACTGATGAATTTAGAAGAAACACTTTGAAAGAAAATAACTCCCATTCACAAAGAAAATCTACATGAAAATATCACAAAACTCCTGCAGAAATGTTACACCAATGGTGTTCATGTCCTGTATACTTTAAATACCGCATATACAAGCTGGGCAACTCTGTAACTCCGAGCTAGACATTCTAATAATAGAATTCATAACATCTAAGGCAAAAGCTGCTTTTCTTATTACCCGGCTCGACGAACCTGAAAAGGTCGGAAAACCAGGAGTTATACCATTCTAGACTCTACAAACAAGTGCCAAGTCTTTTAGGTTTAGTGCCTTACAATGCCTTCTCCCAAACATCTATTATATCCTTGATTGGTCCAGTTGAGCAAACTGTTGCCTCAGAACCCTTCTCATCACTTTATTTGACGCTGTTCTTGGCAGAGTTGACAGCGGTACAATGTGAGAAACCTGCGCATGTTAGCTTCTTCTTAGTATGGAAACTACAAAAGGCAGGATTGAAATTGGTTCAAATTTTAATTTTACAGAATAAAAATATGAAGACCAGTGAAAATAAGATACAATGAAAATAACGATTTAATCCTAAGTTACTTCCATATTTATTCAAAAAAATTAGATATTTCTGCGATTTCTCTCTTGACAAATAGGAAGATGTATTCATCATTGTGGAATTAAAAAATGAGTTAAATCAATGAAATAGGATAAATTTGAACCACACAACATATCAGTAAGGCAGTTGTGTGCAGAGCAGACATCATTACCCTGAATAGAGGATTTAGTTTCTGCTGTAATGCTGAATTGAAGGCCATTCTCAATTTATTTAAGTCTGGAGCTGGGACATTCGAATCCTTGTATACGACTGCAATTACTAATCGTTCAGGGCCACCCTTGGGAGGTGGTACTCCAATGGCTGCAGTCTCAAGGATACTGTCATCAACTGCATTACAGATGCGTTCAATTTCTACAGAGCTAACCTGATCAAACAGAAAAGAAGAAGAGAAAAGAAATCAGACCAGAATCAAATAGTTACTCTTCAATTTGTAAAAATTTTGTTATTCAATGCCCAAAATTCTGAATGCTTCTCCCTGCATATCATCAAACTAAAAGTTCCCGCACGTCAAACATTCAGAGACACCATTGAATTTCCCAAATCTTTCTCTCAAAAAAGTGGAAGTGCCAGATACTTTGACAGAAAAAAAGAAAGAAAAAAAAAAAAAAAAAAA